AGATTGGAGAGAGGTGGTTTGTAAGGGAGAACAGTGATTGGTGAAGCAGGAACGAGCCGAGGTTGTGAAAACAAAAGACTAAAATAAACATGTAAAATTATGTAAAATGTAAAAATCTAACATTTTAAATAAATAATCAAACACAAAATAAACAGTAATAATATTTTTTATTAAAAGTCTAATAATCTGGTTTATAAAATAATGAATACACAAATTTTATGATGTTAATAAATAAAATTGATGAAAAAATATAAGTAGAACAATTAAATATATCAAAAATAATAATGTAAAAACAAACCCCAGTGGTATTGCTGGTCACTACGAATTAGGATTTCACAACAATGAAAAAATCTAACAATGTTAATTAACTATTTGGAAAGAATTCATCGCTTTGGATTGATTAGGATGATTCTGTAGGAAAGGGCTGTTTTCTGAGTAGTTGAACTGTATTCAGGTATGCAGCTGTTGAATAATATATAAAATGTTTAATATTAATTTACAGTAAAATGTAAAATATTACTGCGTAGTCTTCGTTTTCTAAACATTTACCGTTTTATAAACGGTATAATTTTTTAAGCCTAAATGCTTTTAAAACCCTCACACAGTCACAGGCCTCAAAAAACATTTTTATTATTTTATTATTATTATATGATATAATTAGAAATTAGACTCAACATTGCATATACTTGTGATGAGACTATTGTAAATAATCACATTGCGATACGATGCTGAAGCAATATATTGTCTAGCCCTACTACGAATCAAGGGAAAAGAATACCAAAACTCTAGTTTCTAAAAGATATGCCCGACGGCTGTTTAAAAGATGAATGTGCTGAGAGGCATTATACCCTGTAAATTATTCATGCTGTTTGAGAAACAATGTCTTGAGTCAGGAAACGCGAATCATTCATTCTAATTGCATATCAGGCCTTTAATTTGACTGAGCGTAATAAAAGCAGTTCACTTTTGCTGAATAATGCACTGCTCAAATTGTATCCCATATTTCAAGATGACTTTTTTTTACAACTCTGTTCCGGTTGTATGTCTCCTATCTGAAGGCAGAAGCCCAGATTATTGAATCCGCTGAAAACTCATTTTGCAAATGAAGAGAGAAAAAGCAGAAGGAATGTAGGAGGCTGTCGAAATGGTGTATTTGGCACAGCTGTGGTTTTCTTGTAGTTTAACAGTGAACTCTCTAATGTTAGCCTGACATCTCAGTGTCTGACACAATGACTGCATAATTGCTGTCATTTTATTTAACCGAAGACTACATTTACAGTGAGATTTGGGGGTATTAGATTAACAGAATTGACATTTACTGTCTATGATCTTAGCTCTTTAAATCAAATATCTACTTTTATTGTTTGGCTTTATTCAAGCAAATTTGACCAATTTATATTAGTGTTGTTGATTTAGAGCAATAATGATAAACATCAGTTGTACTGTGTGTTAGTTTTTTTTTCTTTTTCAATTTTAGAATTTCGGCTTTTCATAAAGTGTATAACCAAAATTCACTTTTAAGTTTTTCCCTTGATACATTTTTAAAAATTTGTGTCATTTCAAATAGAATACACCAAACTTTATAGTTGTCCATACATTATTTGTCTTATATACAACATTTTATTCTACTGTACAAAGAAATTGTGAATTTTTTCCCTGTCTTTTCATAGTATTTTCTGAATTGTGGCATCTTAAAAATAGATCCCTAAGTCCCCTCTGTAAAAATCTGAATTTTGAACCATACCTCCACCAATGTTTATATTTGTGCTAGTAAAGAAATTAGGGTATACTAGTTTTAATTAAATAATGTGTTATATGGATTTTAAAGGGCACCTATGATAAAAATCATCTTTTGGGAACTGTTTGGACAGAATTGTGTGTAGGTATAGTGTGTTTACAGTCATATTGGAATGATATAAGTTTCTTTTTTTAAATTTCCTGATGTTAAAAATAGGATGCAAATCCCTCCCATTTTGAGGCCCACCGCAACGTGATGTAGGAGTGTGGTTTCTCCGCCCACAGATTTGGCTCACAGCTGCATATTAACATGTCTCAGTAGTAACGCGTATACTCATATCAAAAAGACGGAATGTGCGCAAAGCAACCAGGATTAAAAGATCTGTTGAGCTCGCTGTGATCATCAATCATCATCAAATGTGATCAAGAATGAATTTTCAGTTTAAAATGTTTTTAAAACAGTGCATTATAATGAATTACAGCAATTTGACCATTTTTACTTTTTGCACTACAGCCGCATGTCAGTACAATTATAAAAGAAGACGCTTTAATCCGGGTTTGTGGATGTTAAGGTTTATTTTGTACATGAACACAACGTATGTCCATACTGCAGTGTATTAATGTGTATCCTGCTGCATTTGTCGTGCAAAAACAGTGCAAAGTTAAACGTGTGGTCTATGTGTGTGTTTGCTGTGTGTGTGTGTGTGTGTTTGTGTGTGTGTGTGTGTGTGTGTGTGTGTGTGTGTGTGTGTGTGTGTGTGTGTGTGTGTGTGTGTGTGTGTGTGTGTGTGTGTGTGTGTGTGTGTGTGTACTTTGTAACAACATTGTGTGTGACTCATCGTTGCAGAAAGAAGAACTAGCATTAAAGGCACAGGCAACAAAAACAGCTACATAGTTGTTCAGAGTAGAAATTCCAATATTCTGAAAGGTATAACCAAAAATTTGACGGGTGTTTTGAGCTGAAACTTTACAGACACATTCTGGAGAAAATGGGGTAAAATAGGTGCCTTTTAAACATAACTTTTAGAAATCTTGTGATACAGAAACTTTTAGCAATTGTTAATGTAATCAAAGAACTGAGAAAGTATAGTGACAACTATTAGTTATTATTTTTATGAGATTACGGATAGTTTAATATGTTTTTAATTGTGAAAGGCAACAGTTGTCTTTTAGAACATACTCCTGTTTTGTTTTTAATCTGTGTACTGTATGTTAGATTCAGATAAAAAAGTGCACCAGACGTCAACTATTGCACTGAGCAGCTATGAAGAGCAGCAGATTTAACAGATTTCTCAATGGTCCTATAAAGCTCTCAGGCTGGGAACTGTGACGGCACTCTAGACTCACCCAATTACAGCAGAACGTGCTCCGATTTCAGTCCCAAACCCACTTTCCCTGGCACAGAAATTGAATAGTTTCCAAAAAGTTAATACTGTGAAGATTCGGTTTGTGGAGTTTCTCTTTGCTGACTGACAGTGATTGCTGACCCCTAGTTTGTCTTTGGGGACATTTTTTTATTTGCCATTTTCACCCTCATTTCCTTTCAAACTTCTATATTTAACTATTGAAAACAAAACATTACAATAATTCCATTTTAAAAAATCTTAATTGAAAAAGCATTTGAGCATTAAAAGCATGCCTTTTTTAAACCAGTCTTGTCTTAAGTTGCATGATACATACATACATATATATATATATATATATATATATATATATGTTTGTATAAATATAACAAATACAGTGTATGAGCCAAAATTATTAACTATTTTATAAGAATATTTAGATTAGATAATAATAACAATAATAATAATAATAGTAAAATAATAATAATAATTTAGATATCTAAAGATGGCATTGTAATGGTGCAGTGGGTAGCATGATCGCCTCACAGCAAGAAGGTCGCTGGTTCGAGCCTCGGCTGGGTAGGTTGGCATTTCTGTATGAAGTTTGCATGTTCTCCCAGTGTTCGAGTGGGTTTCCTCCAGGTGCTCCGGTTTCACGCATTATAGATAAATCGGGTAAGCTAAATTGTCCATAATGTATGTGTGTGAATGAGAGAGTATGGGTGTTTCCCAGAGATTGGTTGCAGCTGGAAGGGCATCCGCTGCGTAAAACATATGCTGGATAAGTTGGTGGTTCATTCCGCTGTGGCGACCCCAGATTAATAAAGGGACTAAGCCGAAAAAAAAAAGGAATGAATGAATGACTACCCAAAATACTTTACATTTTGTTAATTTTTCAGTCTGTAGAAAGTATAGTCAGACAGTATACCAAACTTTATTTTTGTTTAGTAATGAACTTTGCCACAATTCCATTTGGACATCTTTAAAGGTAATTTTCAGTATTTCGAATATTTTGATTTTCTTGAACCCTAAGTCTCCAGATATTCAAATAGTTTTATCTTGACCAAATCGACCAAGCCATACATCAATGAAAAGCTTATTTATTCAGCTTTCAGATTATTTATAAATAATATTGAGATTCAGGGTTACAGATCAAGTATTTGAATAAAAGTACAGATACCCATATAATATGTTTTACTACAGTAAAAGTGCAAAGGCATTAAATTTTAACTCCAAAAAAATTGTACTGATTAACTTGAAATGTACAATAGAGTTGAATTTTTAACATCAAAGTTGTCTGAGCAGACTGATTGAGGCCCTTAATGCATTTGAAAGCGTAAATAAACAAGCCTCAATAACAAATCTACCCCTTTAAACTGAGATTTTTCAGGACCATACTTCGAAACCAAGTGGTAAGAAAATTTCCCAGAATACACCAGCCACAACAGCAGCATAGTTGCACCCGGAAGTCAGGAGATCCACAAATTCTATTTTTTTGTCATTATTACAAATCTTTTACAACAAACAAGCACATGTTTTAATATATTCATAACGGTGTTCGTGTTTTACCATCGTGCTTTAAGAAAAAAGTGCTACAATAAAAACCGCTAAAATTCATTCTAAAAATTCAATTCATAAAACATTCTGACACTCGATGACACTGGAATACCCTGTCAGTAAGGTGTAGTGAAGCAAGAGATCATAATGACTTATGATGACGTGTGCAGGTGTTGTAGTGCTGTTCCATTTCTTAGGGGTACATTTTGACACCCTGCTCCTTCTGTTTCAAGGGCCAAGGGGAAGGGGTAGCGGTACAAAAATACAAATGGGATTGGGCCTTAACCCTTGAATGTCCCAAACATGAGCTGTAAATGAACAGATATGTTTTACTGGGGATAATGAGTGATGTGTGTGTTTTACCTGTGTCTGCGAGGGCCTGAAGGAAGAGCTGAAGCTCTGCTGAAGAGAGTCCAGGAAGGGCTGGATCTTGTAGAGGCCTTGACTGCCACCCTGGCTGGAGCGGAAGGCTACAACATGGAAGTATTTGAGGATCTTTTCGAAGCGCGCCTGGCTCATTTTGAGCGCGATGCTGCGGTTACTGAAGAAACCACTGCTCCAGATGCTTAACACCGACTCACAGCGGTTCACGCTAGTAGATGTAACGTAGCCTAGAAATGCTTTCATTTCTGCAAGTGTCACGTTGGTCCAGCCTTCATCACTGCCGAAACGCTCCTGGAACTTCTTGGCATACATGTTGGTCTGGGTCACCATGTTCTGAATGACGTTGTCCGGTACAAACAGCTGGAAGAAGTCCATGGCTGTAGCGGTGGCTGACATTTTCTGTGTTGGACCTATAAAATAAAAGGTATGTTTTAAGATATTTTTTTGTTGTTGTTGTTTTTAGATATTTTTTAATTGTGTAACTTCTTAAAAGCACATTGCATTGAAAAAAAAAATTCAAAGATGATTCCTTGGATTTACTCTTTTTTATGTTAAGTGGCTGTAAACAATTTATTTGGGCTGAACTTAAAGTAACAAATGAAGCTGAACATTACTAAATTTAATATGTTTTGTTTAAAATCAACACATAAATGGTTTGCAACAATTTTGCTATGCACATGACTACAGAAAATAATGATACAATGATTGCATTACAATATAATTCACAAAGCCCATTATTTTAAGTTAGAAATAAACAGAAAAAAATGCATCAATAAATCAAATAATATGTGAAACACACATTCGGAACATGAGATTTTAATAAAACATTTAAATATTTACAGTAAATCATTCAGCAGCTGATTACAAAAAAGCTAATCTTGCAGTAAATAGAACATTGTCAATGCACAGTAGTAATTATGGTGGCTTGAAAAAGCCACCATTGTGATAATCTACATAAACTTCTTCTTCCGTCTTCTGAGACTAGTTTTAAGTTGTATTTCCTCCTAAGCCTTTCAAGCTACATACTCCAAACTTTTGTCAGACCTTCAAACTGGTCTGACTCGGGTTGCTATATCTTTTCTAACTGATTCGATTTTCGGTTTTCCGAAAAACGACCCAGAAAATTCCCAAAAGTCCCATTGACTTAATATTGAGTCAAACTTTGTGAGCTCTTAACTCTGCATCAGACTGTTCCTACAGAGTCTGGCCTTATTCAACTCAGTCAAGCTAGCAGCCAACCACTGATGACCTTTAAACTTGCTAGCCACTCCTTAGCAAACCAATTTCAGCACCCTAGCAACTGTCCTGTAGACTGTGACCAGCTATTCTAACACATGATAGTAGCTTTAACATAGTGACATGCTAATCTTACTAGAAACATGCCAGTGACATGCTAGTCATGCTAGCACATGGTAATTCATGCTAACAACATGCTAATTCATACATGCTAATTCATGCTAGAATCATGGTAACATCATGCTAATTAATGCTAGAAACACGCTAGTAACATGCTAATTCTTGCTAGAATCATGCTAATTTATGCTAAAATAAGACTAGTAACATGCTAATTCATGAGTACAACATGCTAATTCAGTCTAGAAACATGCTAATTCAGGCTAGACTTATGCTAGTAACATGTTAAATCATACATGCTAGCAATATGCTAATTCATGCTAGAATCATGCTAATAGCATGCTGATTCATAATAGAATCATGCTAACTCATGGTAGTAGCTATCATGCTATTACAAACCTCAGACACAGAGATCAACTTTAAATCTGTTTACTGGCTTGCTTCATTCTTTACAGTGGTTCCATTGACTGCAGGCATCTTAAACATTCTTTTAGCCAACTTGATACTTTTTCAAGCAAAATAAACTACTTTCAACAGGCTTTTCTCAAGTCACCATAAAGTTTTCAAACTTTACTATCTAGTTATAAATAGTGATGCTACATTTAAATAAGCATAATGGCTAAATTAAAAATAAAAATCATAAATTGTCTTGTGATTTCAGTTCTTTCATGTCTTTTGACTTTAACAGAAGTTTAAAAGTGTGTAAATGATGACATCATTTTGTTCATTTTTGGATGCACTGCCTATTTAAAGGGATAGTTCACCCAAAAAGCAAGTTCTTTATGAGTTTCATTCTTCTGTTAAATACAAAAGAAGATATTTTGAAGAATACTGAAAACATGTAATCCTTGACTTCCACAGCATTTTTTTTTTTCTACTATGGAATTCAATGTTTGCAGCTTTTCAGCTTTTCAGTAAATAGTGGGAGATTTTTGGATGATATTATCCCTTTAACTTCACAGACGGGGCATTGGATGCAGTTAAACTTCTAATGAATTTTTTTTAGGACTCTTATCACCATCTACCTAACAGGGAGCACTGAGCATGAACTAATGAGCGTATGGTACATCAACATGTGCTGTGAGGGCTGATTTTATCAGCTAATGATGAAGAGTTGTAGAGAAAGTGGTTTGCAAAAAAGCTTAATTTTTTTCCCTTGTTATCTTTTGCTCCACTTCCACTAATGGCCATTTTGTCAACCTTAAAAGGCATCAAGAAGCTCACAGAGAAATGGAACAAATGTTTAGGAAGCAAAATATAAGTCTCGGTTCATCAAAGTTCTTGATACATTAACGTGCAATGAAAACTACTATACTGTTACTTAGTCTGAATAAACACTGCATAGTAATGATAAGGATGATAACACTTGTATTCTGCACTACATGTTAAAATATCTTATAGGTTATGAACAGTTATAAACGGCTGTTCCAGATTGGCACACATTTGTGCACTAGTACAGTGGCCTAATGATCCCAAACCAACAGAGGGTGTCATTCAATTGAGTGCAGGAAACAACTGAGAGTAAACAGCTGCCGATTTAGATTATATTAGATTAGATTGGACTCAGCTTTATTGACATAAAATTGTCATTACACATGTACAAGTACAATGCAATGAAATGCAGATCTGATCTACACTGGAAATCTGTTGTAAAAATCAAGTAAGCAGATGCTCAACTAACTGTATAGGAGATGTAACCAAAAATCAAAAATTTATCTCACGTGAAGAAAAACCACCAACTTATCCAGCACATTTTTACGCATCGGATGCCCTTTCAGCTGCAACCCATTTCTGGGAATTATATTATATTATATTATATTATATTATATTATATTATATTATATTATATTATATTATATTATATTATATTATATTATATTATATTATATTATATTATATTAAGCAAAATTAACTTTTTGCTATTATTAAAACAAATGTAAGTAAATATCAAGTTTTTATCTAAAAATGTACATGTTTTTGCATAATGTGGCAATATTAGATTTAGCTTAGACATTACTTTTAAAAGAATTCATTTTTGTTCATGTAATGAAAATCAATGGTAACCAAAACAGTTTACTCATACATTTCAAAAATATATATAGTCATACAGATTTTAAAACAAACCTAATTAAAAGAAATGATAGTCTAAATAGTAAAAGAAAGCTACCAGTATGCGGCAGTATATGTCTCAAAATGAAAGTTATAATTTATTCAAATATATATACAACCTGTATATAATGTCGATAGTACATCCATCTGTAAATATCACCATAGTTTTTCTATAACTGCACTTTATAACTTATACCTCTAACCTGCACTTGCTGCTATTGCACTGCTGGTTAGACCTAAACTGCATTTCGTTGCATTGTACTTGTACATGTACATGTGTAATGACAATAAAGTTGAATCTAATCTAATCTAAATGATCACACTTTTTAATAACTTTTCATCAGGTAGTTACTAAATGGATTTACTAAAATTATTAATGATTTTAATAATGAATTACTAATTAATAATGAACAATACTTGTACAGAATTTATTAATCATGGTTCAAACATTTGCTAATGCATTATTATAATCCAAATTCATGCTTGTTAACATTAGTTAATGCACTGTGAGTTAACCACCTAACAATAAACCAATACATTTTCAATATGAAAAAATTTCTGTCATATTGTTCATTGTTTGTTCTTGTTAGTAAATACAGTATATCACCTAGCATTAACTAATACAATCTTATTATAAAGTGTTCCCATTCAATTAGTTTAAAAGCAAATTCATTCATGAAGTAAGTACACATCTCTTTTCATGAATGACCCACTGAATCCCTAATTCACCATGCAGATTATTTAAAAAGGCAAATTAATTGAAAAACAAAACATCACTGTGCTTTTTAAGTAATACTTAGTTTGCAAAATTGCCAAAAACAAAAGTGTAATATGTATCGCATGATACAGTAAATGTGACACAAAAACATGTACAGGTGCATTAATGCTCCAAGAGCTTGCGCTTTATACTGCTGCGGGAACATTTTTGATCAAGGTGTGGTAAAGGGAGGGCTTTTCCCATTTGAATGTTCTAATTTTAGCATATTCACATAACTCACACTAGATTAACTTTTAAAATACATATTTACACCACTCATAAGTCACAATTCAACATAAGACAACATAGAAAACCTACATTGCATCTCTAACAATTTTATGACTTAAAGAATGAATAAATCTTCCCCACGGCAATGTAGAGGCATCATGTTTGTCACCAGTCATCTGTATGAAATGTAATGTTGGTATTGAATAAGAGCAATAAGTGTGTTCAAATATTTATATAACCTGTTATTCTTTCATGACAAAAGAACACCCAATATAAACAATACAAGCCATCAAAAACGTGTTCATTTCCAGAACAAACATTTGTGTCATGCTTTCCAAAGGGTCATGTGCTCATTTAGTCACATATGACACACATCTTAACCCAACAACAACTGCTGCTGTTCAAACAGAAGCTCATCTCCTTTTACGGCTCTGAAGAAGCGCGTAAATCAACGCAAAAACACCCCCAGGACAAAGTCCTTTCTACTGTGTCTTACAGTATGCTCATTCATCTGTGCATGCACAGTACCTTCTAAAAAGAGGTGTAGTTCAGTATGGGGGGAAAAACACCTCAGGGGAAATAATCTAAGTTCTGTACTTCCAAAGGCCATTTTAATTGTGTTGAATCTGAATTATTAACAATTATAAGTTAATGAAACTGAATATTACATGCCATTAAAACATTTTTTGAATTTGAATTTCTTAACTTAAATTTGAGCTTCAAAACTTGAATATTGAACATCTGAAATTTATCACAAATAAGATTTTTTTATAGATGCATTTTCAAACTTCAAATATTTTTGCTTTTATGTTCGACCATAGGCGTCTATTAAAATACATATGTTTAATTTTACATTACGGTATACGTAGATAAAAAAGGCATATTTTTACCTATTTTCAGACCCCCCAGCCCCTGTAATTCGCACCCTGTGCACAACCATGAATCAAGCAGAGGTGATTCTTA